CTCAGCATGCAAGAAGCAAACCCAACATTTTCCGCATCTGGGAAAGAACTCGTGCGCTGGGCGTTCTCGATATCTGCCACCCAACGTCAGCTGACAATGGGGTCCCTGACCCCGAAAATCTCTGGCACCCCACACGCCTTGAACTCCTAGAACGAGGGAGTTCGGGCCCCAACCTGTCCTGCAACAATCTTAGCCCTGAATGATCTGAGGCTCTCCTCCATGATATCCATAATGCCCTCCTTAACATTCCCAAAAATGACTGGGGTAGCATCAAGGATGCCCCTGGTAACCTCGGTTGCTATAAGCTCGCGCAGCCTCTCATCAATCACATCAGTAGTGTCACCTGACCCTGCTCCAGATCCAGATCCAGATCCTAATCCCCCTACTCCGAATCGTGTAATCACTATGCTAAACTAAAATTTCATAAATCACAATGATCAGGATTTTCATAAAAGGTATCTTCCCACATCGGTCTTCCTTGAAGTTATCAGATCTAACATCAGTTCAGGTACAGGTCCTGTGCTTTCAGTAGTACGGGCGCAATACTACCTTCTACACCTAGCTATACCTTCCTCAATGCTCTACCAGATAATCCCAATTCATCCCGGAACTAAACCATATCCCACTGACTACCACATACATCAAATCTCAGGCTATTCTAAGATTTGCTCTACTCATATCAACCAGATCAATCATAATAGGTTGCCTTCATGCATGCAAATTGTACACAGAAAAGGATCAAATAGACTTTCAAATAAAAGATTCTACCCTAGGACCACAACCAAACAAGGAACAGGAAATAAGGTCAAATCAATCATTTTGAGGCTATAAGCTCCTATCCATATAGAATTTTAAAAGCATACACATAGCAAGTTCCATATAATCAACAAGGCTCAAATATCAGCAAAACATGGCTAACATATTGAGGAACTACTCACTTGGCTTGGCTGATCACGCGCGTTGCACTCTCACCTTTTCATTTCCTTTTGAAAAACCTTTTTATGTTACCTTTGATAAAAAAAAATTACCATTTCCATAGTTTGAGTCCTTACACACTCGAGAGTGTGCCCAAATCCCTCAAACCAAGGCTTTGATACCAACTTATAACGACCCAAAATTTTACAAAAATAAAATTCATTTTAATTAGTCAAACACATTTGCATAAATCACGAAATCTCAACACATTTTTTTTTCAAATCCACATTCATTAAAATCTTATTTTTAAAACATCAGAGTGTCCCTGGACCATATTAGTGAAAGAGAGATAGAGTGCACACCGCACCATCACGCCTTGCCTTTTCCCTTGGGCTCAGATGTACCTGAAACAAATCAACAACCTGTAAGTGAAATGCTTAGTGAATTCCTCAAAGCATACCACACACATAATCCACATATACATAACATGTTAGATTTTAAAGCTACACACCTATTACATAAGCCATACATACATAAAACCTATAAGAATGCCATGGGCTACCCCCGCATTGTCTTTACTTAGGACTGCCATGGGCTACCCCACATGGTCTTACATCCAATGTCACGGGCTCCCCTCGGGGTCTTCCATGCAAAACACTCAATCACATATTATATTAAGTCATAGAATGGCTAACACATATATCACAATCACATAATGGTCCGGCCTTGGTGCCTTTGACCTATTGCATGGTGAGAAGACTCACCTCTAAAATGTTGAAAAGGTAAACTGAATTCAGATATGCCCCATGCTTCCTCTCCTCGGCTGCCTATAATCATCAAGTGATTAGCTTAACACCATCCCATAAATTCCCTCTTCATCCGTGATTATCTAAGAATTCTCATTCGAATGAACAAGAAATGAAGATTGTTCTTTCAACATACAATCTTTGAACCTCAAAAGCAAGGTAAAACCGCACTTGAATATTATGTGACAGATTGCATTGAAGCCTCCTCAATCAATTTGCTACTATATATGAAACTACTGAAGTGATCCAGAAGATTAGCTCTCTCTGTTGTTCTCTCTGAAGATTCTTAAGCTGAAAACGCCATTTTTCAAGAATCTTTACAAGAAGCCTCCACACCCAACGTGTGTTCAGAGTCAAATCTTGAAGAAATGCCCAACTGCTCAAGATGAAGTCAGTTACTAAAGATTCATCAAGTTCATCTTGAAGCTGTGAAGAATTTAAACGTTTACGCTGAAGCCAAACTCCAACTGAATATTGACAAGAAAAGTTAGCTACATTTTAGCGGGAGTTTGTTGGGTCAATTAGAAAAGAAAGCTATAAACCAAAGGGGAGTTTGTTGGGTCAAAAATATGGTTTATAGTTTGCTTTTCTAGGAAATTGGGTTTCGGTCCATGTGGTTAAAAGTGTTTACAGCCGTGAATTGGTTCACGGCTCATGTGCCATATATATATATATATATATATATATATATATATATATATATATATATATATATATATATATATATATATATATATATATAAAGAGAGAGAGATAAAGAGGGATGTTAGATAGTCATAATAGTTAACGATTGTATGGCTAGAATAGAGAGAGTGTGGTGCTAAGTATGTGTGAATCTTGTAAGGAACTTCATTGAAATCATCAAATCATTCAAGACTCATATTATTCTTCTTCTCCTTCTTCTCTATTTTGATCTAGCAACATCCGATTGATTAGGATTCTGCACCATCAGTCGGATCTGATTGATACATCAAGCAGATTTGGGACTTACAGTAAGCTAACAGGATGGGAGGGACATACCAACCCGATGGTTGAATGGGCCCGAGGGTATTCCATCCCTAGGATGACATGACCCGTTGTAGATTGGCATTCCAACACGATGGTTGAGGGGACTGGGGTATTCCAACCCGATGGTTAATGGGCGTAGGGTATTTCAGTCTGATGGTTGATTGGACCCATAGTGTATTGACATTCCAACATGAAGGTTGACTCGTCCTGGGGGTATTCCAACCCAATGGTTGATTGGACCCGACATGTTGTTATTGTATTTGTTATTTGTTTATGTATTGGTATTTTAGGGGAACTCACTAAGCGTTGGCTTACAGTTTTAGATTTTCTTCCAGGTACTTCGGATGACCGCGCGAAGGTAAAGGCATGACTATACACATACTCTTTCAACTGTCAAGCAACACTCCTATGACACCTACCCCTAGAGACACCCAGATGATCCCCCCCCCCCCCCCATCTTCCTTACTAAATCTTCATATTCCCTATCTGCTACTCGATCTATTACTTCCTCTTCTGTGCATCTCGACTCCCCGGTCTGTTTCTCTTCCTCTTTTGGTCTCCGATTCCTCTTCTCACTCCTTTGCACATGGTAAGATGTTATTGATTTCACTTGTTCTTTTCTCAAACAACTTAATGTATGTATGCATACATCTGTTTCATGATTTGTAGAATGATAAGTTAGAAAAGTGATTAATTGAGAAGTCGAAGGAAAAGAAAGAAAAGAGCACCTTGATTATGTTACTCTAAGAGACAATGCTTACAGAAGAAGAAAAACTATTTGTACCATTTTCCTATTACTCTTTCATGATTTGTTATATGGTATAGATGAAAATGGGTAAAGAAGAAGAAAAACTATTTGTACCATTTTCCTATTACTCTTTCATGATTTGTTATATGGTAGATGAAAATGGGTAAAGCAGATAATTTTAAATTATATATGTTTGATTTTAAATTATATATGTTTGAAGTTTGAAGGTGCGTACTTTTCAAAATGGCTTCATATGTTTTTTCTTTATATGCTTTGCTCATATCGTGCTTAAACAAATAATATGAATTTATTCTTCAACAAATAATTTCAATGTTTTTGTTTAGTTTAGGTTTACCAGCAACGAATTTGTAGTTTCAAGAATGATACACAATATTATTTACGTTGTTTGTTGTTATAAATTTTATTTAAAATTCATATTACTTGGTAATTATGAAGTTATGGTGTTTATTTCGTATGAAGAACAATAGAATAATCTTTTACATTTTTTGTTGTCCCGTCCTAGTATTACCAAACACCATATGGACAATATATATGGTCCCATCCAATACAATATATATATATATATATATATATATATATATATATATATATATATATATATGTGTGTGTGTGTGTGTGTGTGTGTGTGTGTGTGTGGAAATGATCAAATAAGAACACCTAAAAGGTTGAGAACGCGAGAACAATTCTGGATCAATCAATATATAAAAACATATTAGTAATTGTATATTTTAACTAAATTAAAATAAAATAAAATTCAATCAAATTCCTTTAAATTTGGGAGCAGTTACCAAAAAAGAAATAAATATTCAATTTTTTATTCCTCTTATTAATAGAATATAAAAAAACATTTTTACTAAAATTTATCTTAAAAGTGGAACTTTTTTTTTTAAGAAAATCAATTTTTTTCTTCTATTTCATGGTTTTTTCTTTCAAAAAAATGAATAGAAATCGAACCCTAAATTAATACATTTGTATTCACAAATGATTTTTTTTTTCAAAAAACCGGATACTTCTCCAATCACAAATGAATACACATCAATTTACAAGTAATCAATTCCTTTTTTTTAATCGACTGAAAAATAAAAAGAGTGTAAAATTATCATTTCTTCATAAAAAGAATTCCTCTAATCATAAATAAATACATTTATTAACATATGATTTTACTGCTATTCACAAATGAATACACTGCTATTAACAAATGAGTTCTCTGTTATTCACAAATGAATAAATGAAACATCTAATCATAAATAAATATATTCATTCACACATGAATGCACTGGTATTCACAAATGAATACACATTTTAACATTAATGAATTCATCAAAATATAATATAACTTACATCTAAAAAAATATAGAACATAATACAATTTTTCATTCTCCTCTAGCTCAGCTTTACCATTTGGTTTCCCATCAACTTTAGGAATAACTTTGATGTTAAGATCAACCACGGAGCTAGAAGCTTCAACAATTCGAGCATAAGACTTTTTGCTAACATCATTGTCAATGTAACCATTGGGATGATTTTGATTTGGAATCATTATCAACAATCATCGGCTCATTATCCCATTTAAGATCCAAAAAACTAACTCCCTGTTTCATTTTCAAATTAGTCCCAGTATCTGATCCCATCTTCACATCATCATTTGAACCCTCATTCATTACTTCATCATTACCACTACCAGAATGCTTCACAGTCTTCATAGGAATAAGAATCGTAACATGAGATGTTTCATGAACAGGGGACGTACCAGGAATTTTACCCAAAATACCCTTAGCAGGGATTCCAACATTCAAAGAAGGAGGCGACAAAGATTGCGAACTGTCAGCCTTGGATTGGGAAGAATTGAACCCTTTAACCATATCAGAAGTAGCTTGTATCAAAACGAATCCATTTTCTTCCACCAAATCATTGATTTTCTTATTATTTCCATAAATTTGAAAAGTATTCTGAATTTCAACGTTCTTACCACCATCGACAATTTTATCCATCATTTCTAGTTCAGATTTGATAAAATTTGGATCAACATTCTCCTTGCCACATCCTGATTTGATTACATCTCTAACCCCATCGCGCAAAACATACTTTGAACCTTCCTCTTCACCAACAAAACAGAGAATCGATTGATTAACTGAAGCGTAACATATGTGTTGGTTGTTGTCATCGGAAGCCACGGTATCGAAGGGTGTATCTATGTGTGTGTTCGTGTGCTGTTGGGAGGGCCAAGAAAGAAAGTGGATGAACATCAGAAAGAAATTGAAGTTGAGACCGATTAAAATGGAAGCAATCAGGTCCGATGAACAAAAATCGAGTTGTAGGAGTGCTCTTCCGCTGATTCTATGGCCTCCTCCGGCTCTGATATGTTCTATGAGATTAGGCGGTGAGATGAATAATTCTATAAGATTAGGTCAACAAAATAAAGCGACATAGAGTAATTATAGGGGTTTATAAAATTAGAGTAATGCTTATTTACCTTAATATCCTTTACAATTTTTTTTTTTTAATTTAAAATTTAAAATTTAAATGTATTAATAATTAGAAAAATAACAATTAATTATAACCACACATCTTAAAACTTAGATGGTCCAAATCTGTTTTTGCATTCTTAACTTTTTAGGTGTTCTTATTTGATCCTACTCCTATATATATAGTACCGTCCATTACAATTATGTCCAAGTCATGTTCAATCTTATTCCATCTAGTTCCACTACCAAAAGTTACCTTAAAGCAGTTAGTCGGTTGGCTTTTGTTTTGTTGGAGACTGTCCTCTTGATAGGCTAGAGACTTTCTTCTAATCTTTTGTGTCCAATCATTCAATAAATGTTCGATAATCTTCTCTAGACATACGCATTAGCAGTCTCGAACAGTATTAATATTAGGTGAGTCTCGGAACAGGAACAATACAGTCAGACTTTTTTAGCCCGATTTCATGGTCTTTGTGTGCGCCTTTAGTCTATTTCAGGGTTTTATTGGTTTTGGTGTCGGATTTTTTTGTTAACAAATATATTATTAACATCAAAATGATGCATTGAGATTTACCAAAAATGATATTATAGTCTAGTTATATGTTAGGCCTTTGTATTTGTTGTATAGACTATAGACTGGCCCATAGCCCACTTCTGTTTGTATATGTATATAATAGTAAGATTGAAATCAGTTGTGTGGAATCAATCTAATTACAGCCATGTCCGAATTGTCTACAATAGTGTAACTTGAGTTCTCATTATAGTTGAGATGCCAGAAGAAGTGAGTTCATGGATAGGAATATACGAGGAACAACAAGAAGAAGAAACACAAAATACGTTCATCTAAAATTAATTTTGGTATACACTTGATCTCAACAACCTTCATTAAAAAAAAAAAAAAAAAAAAAAAAAAAAAAAAAAACACTACAATGGTCACAATTAAACAAAAACAAAACCTAATAATCCACAATAAACCTTCCAAAATCAAACCTTTAAAAACATTTTGACATCAACAAATACAACCATCACCTAGTAGAAGCTCTTGCACTCATGGAAGAATGATAATTTGTGCTTCTTTGTTTCCTATACGATGTGTAAACGTCATCATACTGACTAACCTCATTCGGGTTAGCCGTCGCCCCGAGCCCGAGTCGCCCGGACCCACTCGACCCGGGTTTCTTCTCCACGGTTCCATCCGCATAGGTCCCGGTCTCGGGGTCCACCTGTAGGTTAGGGGGTGGGGGTATACACGCACCCCCTTTACGTACAGGTGTCTCTCTTTCATATTCATATTCATCTTCATCATCACTTTTTGCTCCCATTGGTCCTTCTGAAGGGTTCACTTCTCCAATCTCTTTAAAGAATTTCGATACACTTTCAAGAATATCAGATGGGGAGATTGTAGAGGGCGGAATCACGGTTGGAATGTCGAGAGGACTCATGGGGGAATAGGGTACTCCGCTTCCGATTTGCATTTTTCTTACCATTCCGGGGATTAGTCCGGGTGGGAACAAAGGATATGGTGGTAATTTTTCGGGTGCTTGTGGTGGTGGTATTTGTTGGATGGAAGATGGAATGGGAATGGAGCTGGGATAACCGGGGTTGGAATGGAATTGTGGGGTTGGAATCGGTGGTGCCATTCCGGGTGGGAGTTGTTCTTGGTCTGATAAATTTGGAATCATACCTTGTTTATCAGGCTGCCAATGCACCATATTTGAAGCTGATGCTTGCTGTGGATGTCCTGCATGGAAAAGTTTTTAATCGAAATGTGATTCTGGATCAAATAAGTTAGAATGGTTCTCATGCTTTCTGAGTTTAACTTTTTTAGTCCGAAACTGAAACGTTTTTCAATTTTGGTCCTTATTTCAAGTTTTCATATCGAGTTTCATCCTTATTTCAAGTTTCCACATCGATTTTAGTCCTTATTTCAAGTTTTCATATCGATTTTGGTCCTTATTTCAAGTTTTCATATCAATTTTCGTCCTTATTTCAAGTTTTCATATCAATTTTGGTCCTTATTTCAAGTTTTCATACCGATTGTGGTCCTTATTTCAAGTTTTCCTATCGATTTTGGTCCTTACTTCAAGTTTTCCTATCGATTTTGGTCCTTACTTCAAGTTTTCATTTTGATTTTAGTCCTTATTTCAAGTTTTCATATCAATTTTGGTCCTTATTTCTAGTTTTCATATCAATTTTGGTCCTTATTTCAAGTTTTCATATCAATTTTAGTCCTTATTTCAAGTTTTCATATCAATTTTGGTCCTTGTTTCTAGTTTTCATATCGATTTTAGTCCTTATTTCTAGTTTTCATATCTATTTGGTCCTTATTTCAACTTTTCATATCAATTTTAAACCAGAAAGCCCCAAAGACCAAAAGCCATGTGAAACCATAAAATACAGACCAAAACTGAAAACCGTTTCATTTTTTAACTAAACACAGCAAAAGCCAGAAAACACAGAGGCCATTTTTGTAATCTACTAAAAAAGTGTGTGTGTGTGTGTGTGTGTGTGTGTTGGGGGGGTACCTGGAATGGCTGATGGATCACCTGGGATGGTAGATAAGTCATTCTTAGGAAAAGAACCAACAGGTGGGCCACTGAGCATCTCAGTCTCAAGAACACGGATAGTATCAGGATCATAAACTTCCTTTGATGCCCAAAACTGTAAAATTTTCTGCAATCTTGATTGATTTTCATCTTTGTTTACAGGGTTGTGGTAAATTCTTGCAAGCATAGAGCCTAAAACATGTCTAAAAGCAAGCGCCTCGTTATCAATCTCATGAGGATTCACACGTCTTTGCAAGCTGCAGTTTTTACAAGAAAATATACACATAAGAATGTTACACTATCACAATATAACAAATACTAGACATACCTGTCAAATAAAATGTCATTAGCCAAGTAAATAATATGCAGCTGTCTTTCAGAGTCATCAAGAGAAAACACTCTATCCCTAAGTGCTTCAGCAAGAGCAGGAGCAAAAGGAGACCTCTGCATGAACCACATTTTAGCACCTTTGATTGACTCTTTTGTCCCTGTGAGACTATTCAGCATGTTATTCATCTCTGATGCAACATCAGAAGGAAGTGGGCCAGAGAGACCTTTGAAAGCCCTGGAAGACTGGTCAAACTCTGGCCTCCCATGGCTGACAAAAGGCTGATGGTGTTGCTGTTCATAAAACGGTGGATATGGATGTTGTTGATGCATTTGAGGAGCAGGAGGTAAATGTGGAGGATTTAAGGGCGACTGGTTGTTCATCATAGGGTTAGAAGTGTGCAACATGTTAACATTAGATGGAGGAAAAGAAGGGTTGAACATGGCACCAGGTGGGCGTGAAGCTAACCAGAGTTTATACCTGTAATAACTATGGCCTTCACCACCAAACAAGAAGCTATAAGCAGGGTTATCTTTCTGTTTTTCACGGATCATAGCTTCAAACTCAGGGCCATTTTTCACTGCATATTCCACAAGCTTATCAATAGTCTTTTGTTGTTCAGGGTCAGAAGGAGGAGGGGCGGGTGGTGGTGGTGCATCATATGGACCATGGAATGGGGAAGGGTTTACATGAGGCGGCATATGAGGGGGGAAATTTGGAGGTGGTGGTTGTTGTTGTTGTTGTTGTTGTTGTTGGGGGAGGTGAAGATGGTGAAGATGGGATTGAGAGTGAGGGTGGATCTGTGGTTGTTGCATGAGAGGGTGGCGGGGAAATTGTTGGATAGAAGGATGTGGTGGTATAAAAGGAGGGCCATGAACTGAAGGTAGGAATTGTTGTTGATGTTGTGGGTGAAAACCATATGGTGGTGGTGGTGGTGGTGGCTGCTGGTTCTGGATATTAGCAGCTTGTTGCTGTTGTTGTTGTTGTGCAAATGCCATGGCAGCAGCTGCATAATCATGGCCTTGACGATCCATCAATCTTTAACAAGATGATCTTCAAGAACCACCTAACAATATGACATTAACATATAGCTTAACAATTAACTCAAAGCAGACCAAATATAGAAACTATGCATGAATTTGAAACCCCTAACTTGATGATTAAGTGATTATTGAATCACTAGTGTGTTCAATAAACAATGAGGCTAAAGCAGCTATCTATCTGCATGAATCAGATCCTATCACAAAAATGTATGGTGTTGTTCTATGATTAATTAATCATACATGGGATAATACAAACTGAAGAATTCAAGTTATTATCCAGAAACCTTCTTAAATTCGGTACAGAAGTGAGAGACAATGCTAAATACAAGAAGCAGACATTAATTTCCACTCCATTAATAGAACAAATCAATTTAAAATCTAACTTTGAATGAACTTACATGAATCAATGGACCCGATAATCAAAATAAATTGAACTCGAAGGCATACTAAACCACTTTATATAGAGGATTTTATCATTTGCTAAAGGAACATCAACGACAGAGGCAAATCAAAAACCTATAAGCTGGGAACAGAATAAAACTCGAGGAAAACTTCAGATTAGTAAATAAATTCTAAAATGTGAAAGCAAAATTTCAACGCAATCATATTGTAGATATGAATTAAAAGATGATAAAAAGCTAAGGCATCAGTACGCACTTGAGAGTAAAAATTAGGGCTTTTAATATAGACAAATGTAGGAAGAAGATCTTCAAAGCTTTTTGAGGGAATAAATTGTGGAATCGGCGGTCGGAGGAAGAAGATGGACGGCGCTGGAGAAGTAAGGCGCCGGCAAGCTGATGTTGGAAAACCAGATAATTGGTGGAGCGATTGTTTCCTGTACTCCTCTATTTCATTCACGGTCTCTAGAGCAGAAGCAGCGGTGCAACTCGGCTGTAGCCGGTGTCTAGGTTGGATAAAACCACAATTTGAATTGATCTGTTTTGTTTAAATATTTAGAATAAATTATCAAAACCTAAGTTTATTCTTTACTTTTAAAAATTAGCACATATCGTCCTTTGTTTGTTTTAAATTTAAATATTTCATCCTCGTTAGTTTAAATTTGCATAATTCAACATTTCACCAAAAAATGATTATATTACATTTTCTTTTTTATATTTTATTTTAAATAAAAAGAAAATAATTTTTTAGCAAAGACGCGAGATTTATTAGCGGGTTGGTCATGAAGAGAGCGGTCAATATTGTTGATTTGATGGGTCTTCTTCCACAACTATGTGACCCGCAGAGTGAGCTCTGTTGAGATTAAATATAGATTGATCGAATAGCTTTAAACATGTAGAAGAATGATGAACACATAATGAATATCACATATGTCGAATGATTAAATATCACGGCCTTAGAAAAGCTCAATTAAGAACTGTTGTTGTAAAGGCATGTAGGGTTCACAATACGATTTGACCATTACAAGATATGGTGCATGCATGCACCGTAAATAGCTAAACCCTAATAATAAATCATGGGTGGACAGGACCAATTCGGATACAAAACAGACTATACAAAAAGCCTACAATGATGCAACATTAAATACCCAACAATCTCCCCCTTTGCGTCAATTGAGGCAGGAGACCTTCACTGTTGAGTTCGCTTCGTCGTTTTGAAGAACTTGGGCATGATGTTGAGAAGTGTGCTGCAAAAGGCAATATACCAGCAAATCATATCAGAAAAGTTCTTATTTGTAGTAGCATCATTTTCCTTGCACTAACTAGTAATCTCCAAAATATAGTTCAGGCAGGTTGTCGAAAATAAATGTTTGTCTGGTAAAGCAAACAGACACTTCTGAAAAATCACCTCTTTCTTTTGATCCCTTATGAAACATCACAGTCCAGTTTTCTTTGTCTATCTTCCCCATCTTCATTTTCTTCATATCTTTCACTAAGCCTTGGGGAAGGACTGTTGGTTTCCTCTTCAACACAGAAACTATTTCAATGTCCAGCTTCGCAACCTCATAGATATATTGTTGGATTAGGTGTCTAAGCTCATAACTATAATTGGTATATACTTGACCCGATAGTAGCATGGTCCATTTCGGTTGTCTTCACCAGAATAATTTGATAGATGGATATTTGAGAAAGAGATTATTTATGATATATAAATATATTATAAGAATAATATATTAATTGAGAAATCATATTATTTAATTGATATTGATCAAGAAATAATTTGGAATTAATTTAGTGATCAAAAGAGACTTATTAAATTAATAGGGACTGATTATGTAAATTGGTGATACATATGGATTGGGCTAATGATACATGATTGATTTGTGATAGGTTAAGCTTATGGGTTAGTCCATGAAGTGTTAATCCAAATCAATTGTTGGATCATAAGCTTTGTATTATAAGCTTAAGTGTAAGAATTAGGGTTACATATGACTCTTGGAATTGTATACTATATATATATATGTAACCTGGAGCGCTAAAATCAGTTACCACTTGCATTCCAAGAAGAAGAAATCGATTTTGAGTCTCCTAAAGCTCTCTCATATTCATCTAGTTGTTTATTGGTGTTTGTGACATCCCATTATCACGGTCAGAAAAGACCGGTTTTGTTTATGCTTTATAAAAATCAGAGTACATCTTTTAATAAAAATGTTGCGGAATTTGTTCCCAGTAAAACATGATAAATACGTTATCAAATCATTTCCGAAGAAAAGTATTTTTAATTCATTTTAAAACATTTAGGATGTCATCTTCAATACAGAAACATAAGCCTAAACAGAACTTACATTTATTTACACTAGTGATCTACATCTTTTTAATCTCTCAGTGTAATGTGACTTCACTCAACACCTGTAATATAAATAAACTGAGTGGGTCAGGTTGGGAAACCTGGTGAGTACATAGGGTTTTCAACCCACAATAATATAATTATTATGTTTAAACAATCAAACAATTGATCCAACTACCCATCCCCATTATCTTCTTTACTGTTAAAGATCTATCCTAAGATTCATCTATCCTGCATTCGTTCATTCTGAAGTCCTTTGCTTCCAAAGTTATAGGACTGGCACTAAATCCATAGCTGCCAATGCTCGTTCGTAAAGCACTAATTCCATAGCTGCTAGGTACTAAATCCATAGCTACCACTGTTTATCTAATAGGTACTAAGTCCATAGCTACCAATTCCTAACAGGTACTAAGTCCATAGCTACGAGTGTTTGTCCAATAGGCACTAAGTTCATAGTTGCCGATGTTATTTGTTAGGTACTAAGTCTATAGCTGTCAATGTTTACTCACATCATCTTTTATCTCTCATCATTCATCTACCCATCTCATACCCAACATACTTGTATATTTAAAATACGTATACAGTTCAAATCATTTAAAACATGTATAAAAAAACGTTCATCTAGCATAGACAACAAGTATTCAGATAATATGCACACATAGCACATAGTTTATATAAAATACTTCATATCTTTATGTAAGATGAAAGTAACTATGCACTCACTTGAGAATGTGGTGACTCGGTACTCGGACAACGCTTCATTTACTTTAAAATAATTTCCTTCGACGAAACCTAGTATTATTACCACTAGATTTTAGTATAATATTTACCATGACTAATTATTAGTCATATTATTATTATTATTATTATTATTATTATTATTATTATTATTATTATTATTATATAAGCGTTTAAACAATACTTTCCAACCACTATGTACAAACAGGGGCCAGACATAAAACACCGGAGGGCAAGACTATTTTGGCGTATAGGACTTCTGAAATCCAACAACCCTATGCGGCCCTTTAAACCAGATTCTCCGTACCGTGAGTAGTTAAAAAGATATTATAACGACACTTATATAAGTCATAATAATAGCTCAAATATTTATTATAAATTTATAATAACAATACTAATTTTAAATATAAACTATATTTAAAATAGGGTAAGCATAGCTTACTTACAAGGGGATTTTAGCTAGGGTCGGGCTTTACACGAGCAGAACTTCGTCGCTGAATCTTTCTAAGAAAGATTCGTGCAGTGCTTCATCGCTCACCTTACTATACTAAAAACTACAGAACGAGAAGTCGAATCACGAGGGATCGATATGCTCCGGGGATAAGGAGAGAAAGACTCTTGAATCAAGAGAATAGTGCAAGAAATATGAGAGCCCAAGCCTCTTATCTATAGTAATTGAATTTACAAAACTACCCTCCATATTTACTTAATGACCTTATAGTTATATAAACGACTAAACACCCCTCTATAATACTATTTTAAATGGATTTAACCATATTTGTACTAAACTAATGTCGAAAGAACTCAACATTAGTCTTATAATGACCGCATCGTCGACACCTTTCTAATGGTATATATATATATATATATATATATATATATGTGTGTGTGTGTGTGTGTGTGTGTGTGTGTGTGTGTGTGTGTGTACGTATATATGATTTATACTTTATTTTAATACGTAAATATGCTATTATAATTTGTAACTTGTTCATACGAACTTTTTTTTTGACGTTATTTATATCCACGCGTAGGTGGAGACGTACTCTACAACTTTTGTTTAGACTCTGTCGGCTAATTTTGACTTTATTTTTAAAGTTATATTTTTAACAAGTCGGGACAGGATTGTTCCGTTAAAATCTCATAACTTCTTCATCCGATGTCCATTTTCGTCTATCTTTTTATCGTTACACTACTAATAACGAGATCTTCAATTCTCGTTTAGGTTGTGTCGTCTAAAAACCGCTCGATCTAATACTCGAACTTCGGGCTGCACACCGCTAAGTCGAAACTTCGAAAAATCATAACTTCCTCATACGAAGTGAGATTTGGGCGTTCTTTTTATGGACGTTCTTAGGTTAACATATTCTACGACTTTCATTTATATTACTAAGGCTAAAAGAAGCTCTATCATAAATTCACTATTTACGTCTTCACGGTGCCGATTCCGTCGCTAAACTTCGACGGGTCATAACTTCTTCGTTATAACTCGGATTTCGGCGCTCTTTATATGTACAGAACCCTTGAAACATTTTCTAAAACTTGGTTAAGATTATTTATTCTAAATAATATTTTGTCGAAAAGTCGTTTTCGACCCCTATTATCTCTAAATTGACTAGTCTGGATCTACGAGCGTTACAGTGTTTGTGACTTGTTTGAGGCACAACACTTAGGGTGCTAAGATCTCTTAAGACCAAAATTGTACTAGCTAAACTAAAAGGTAATCTTCTAACTATTTTAATGATTCATATATCAAATTTTGTATGCTAGTTTAGGCTTCATGCTTTCGAAATCAATATTGCATGTATAATTAGAGAAAACTTTGATCCAAAGCATTAGGGTTGTATGTGCACCATAGGAATGTTAGAGTACATAAAACCCATCAGTGGTATCAAAGTCATGGGTGTTTTCTATTATATTGATGCACTGGTATTATTTTCAAAGTTGGAAAATCTGACATTTTCGATTCTGCATGATCACCACGATGTGGCAATGCTTGCCACGACGTGTTGATGCATCTGATGGTAGATTTCGGTCTTTTTGGCTTAATTTGGATTTGGATAATTTCTATAAATTGTTTTGTTGATAAAATTTTGATTTTTATGTTGTGAAAATAATTATCATCATCTTAATTAAAAGATAATTGTCAAAAATTTAAGATAATTGATAGTTTATATGAAAAAAACTAATTATTTGTAAAATTTGAAATTATCTTACTACAAAAGTATTAGGTCATATTGGTAAATGATAAATTATATGATAATTGTATTAGTTAAAATTTGATCTAAATGTTTCTTGAAGAGTTTCATAACTTTTCCTCAAGTTATGAAATATAAAAAGTCTCATTCATGAAACATTAAATCTTTAAGTTATAGAGTTCTAAAGGTCTTAAAGAGTTTCATAACTTGTCCTTAAGTTATGGAACTTGGAAAGTCTCATTTATGTAACATGAATTCTAGAACTTAAGAGTTTTTGAAGAGTTTCAAAACTTGTCCTCAAGTTTTGAAATTTGAAAAGTCTCATTTATGAAACTTTAATTCCAAACCCTAGAATTTTAAAGGGTTAAAATTCAACCCTATACTATTATAATATTAAAGTTTAATATATATATATATATATATATATATATATATATATATGTATGTATGTATAACTCAAGTCATTCTTACCGTTAGTAGGTCTCATTCAGTAAGTCGGCCTATAAGGGGGTATAAGGTTACTGCCTATAAAATGGTGGTTTAATGGGTGTCCACTCTCACCCACCGCTTCCTTGACTGGTGGAGGGTCGTTAGCCGAACAGGTAGGATATGACATTAATCCTCATTAATAAGTATAATGATATAATAAAGTAACTAAACTTTTATAAATTCCCAATCTTAGTTACTTCAGGAAAAATGTGAAAATGGTGCTATCCCATGGAAATTGCACTTTGCACCTTGCTAAGTCGTTAGTGGAACGTGTGTGGTTAGCCGTCACACTAATTTGGGATTAGCAAATGTTGCAAAGGGTACTTTGATGTTAATCATGGATCAATGGAGTGTATGTGGTTAAACAACACATTGATCAAGTGATATGTAACATCAAGAGTACCAAGCACATTTGCATGGTTATTCACACCTTGTTTGTGATCTTCGGTATCCCAGTCACAAACTTGAAGGGAATAATCGAGATTTAAACATGCCATTGAAAAGTTCAATGAATCTCAAAACAATCTAGGAATTTCAGTTCATTTAAAACCTAAATCTTCATTTTGGTTTTTCATGGGGAAAATTGGTAAATCGTCATTTACCTACCTTAAAATTTTTTACAACTGGATTACGAAATCCCTCTTCTTAATCTTAGAATATTGTGTTGGGTCCTAGCCTTAATATTTCATTTTGGGTGTTATAATAA